TTTTGAAACAATTATCATAAAAATCTAGAGAAAAAAAAGAAGGAAAAAATTTATCACCAATAACAAAGCGATCATTTGTAATGGGAATCAAACCATATATTAATTTGTGTCAAAAATGTAATGATCATAAATTTTAATTGAAGTATGAGGAAAAAAAACGAATTGGTTTTTAATTAAAAATTTCCTCCTTTCCATTTAAAAAATATCTATTTCGCATAAATTATATTTAATTACCAAATAATCAAATTTCTTTTAAAATTCTCTTTTTTTTTTGTCTTTTTAAAGAAGTAGAATAGCGGAAAGATTAATTTATAAACAGAATTTTAATGAAAACTACCAGATTTTACCTATTTCTTAGTGTTTATTGTCAATGTTAAAAAGTTAATAACTTTCTTCTCTTTCATTCTTATTATTATAACTTTCACATATAACTTTCATTCTTATTCTCAAATTTTTTTCAATCTAACAAATTAATAATTAAATCGAATGTATTGATAAAATTTAAGAAATATCAAAAATTTCAACGAAATCGTTACCAACTTTTTACTGAAATGCAATAATTTCATCTATAAATTTTTGGATGAATTTTTTTTTTAAACAAAAATATTTAAAAGAATCGTTAGAATTCTTTCAAAATAACCAACAACACTATTCTTTAGTAACGATATTATCAATTATGCCACAAAATACTTTCACCGTGATATTTTATCGCTATCGCTTCCAAATATCATTTATCAGTTAATTGTTCATTCATTAAAATGAACCAATCAAAAAGAAACACAAAAAGAGATATGAAATAATTGAGGAATGGAAAAAATTATTAGAATGCTAATAATTAAAAACATAGTTTTCATACACTGTGCTTAAACATAAAACCACTTATATTAGATGATAAATTTGAATTAAAATTTAAACATCACTACAATTCATCCATTCACGTCCAATACTATTACATTGAAATCATCATCGATAGAATATTTTAAATAAGCTTCGCTTAAATTTAATGCCTCTTTTTAATGCATATTAATTCAATTTGAAATTTCTTTCCTGACGAAATTCATTCATTCATTCATTCATTCGTGCAATCACATTATTTCATCATGAATTATTTTCATCGAAAAAGCATATTTTTATAAATTTGCAAAATTTTATTTTACTAAAAAAAAGATTAAAGTTTTCCAAATTCCTAAACAGCATTGAAAAACAAAAAAAGAATATACCGTATTACAAATGTACTCAAATCAGAATATAAATGAGAAAATCCATAATGTGAAATTTTCAACTGTAATATATTTCATTATGTTTGAAGCATAAATCTAATGGTAATTTCAAATTGATGATTCATTTTTTAAAATTCCAATCATCCATGAATCATTTAATATCATCTATTTCTTCAAAAATTTTTAAATTTAATATTCAAACAACAAGAGTTAAATTTACAAGTATATACTGATAGAAAATAATACCATTCAAAATTTGAATTGAGATGAGTTTAAAAAATGTTTTCACTAATCATAAGTGATTTAAATCATTAACTCATTTGGTCCATACATGTACGGAAATATAAATTTTTTTTTTTTTTTTTGAGAAATTCACCGATATTTCGTAAAAAGATAAAATGCAAAATGAAAAAAAAATTAAAGAAGCGCATTTTATTTAAGCTCTCTCATACATACAAAGAAAAGAAAAAGGAAAAAAAAAGAAACGCTTTGAAGTTTTATTTATTAGTTTATTTGTATAATTTCTTTCTTCCCTAACCATTAAATTAAATATTTAGCACAATTCACAAACATATTTTTATTACAATTTATGAATTTGAAATTATTGCAATAAAAGTGAAAAGTATAATAAATCACAATTTTATGATAGATATTATAATTTTCGTCCCTGTTTTGAAATTCAATCGGCATCTTTTGTGGGAAACCCGAAACTAAAATTATTTATATTTTAGCTAACCATGTTAATCATTTATTTCTTATAATTATAAATCAAATTCCTTAATGATTCATAAATTGTAATGTGTTAACGAATTCCCATGCTAATCTGATATGTCATATAAACACTTTCTGTCTTATAAGCCAAATTAATTCTAATCTAATGGTTAATCTTGTAATACACATCCGTTCCCATCTTTATTCGTTACATCATCACCTTATTCCTTTTTTAAAAACTATCTCATGGCTATCTTGTAATCAACCGTTTTATCAATCACTTTATATCATCACGCCCATGGGTTCACATCCT